TTATTTTATTATTTGACTTACTTTTATTACATTACCTCATATATGTAATACTCCTATATTGCTAGTGCCCTATCTTGACAATGAGTTGGAGCGGTGCCAATATCACGGTACCGACATAATATTCACGTCTCTTTCTACTTGGTGTGCTGCAGTGTTCTGCGCATGTGGTAACGAGTAACGCATGCGCGGAAAGCTGTCACACACCAGAAAAAAGAGACGTGAATATTATGTCGGCACCGTGATATTGGCACCGCCGTCGGACCTCTACTAGCAATATAGGAGTATTACATAATATATGTATTACCTATGTATTTTTCGACAGAAATTTTACCAAACATTTTACAAATTACATTTACTATCAGACGAATTACATCGGTTTATGGTTTTTCCTGTTCAATTATTCGAAATTTCTATTATGCGAGAGAGAATACGCTTCTAATTTTTATATATTTGTTTATATTTTTTTATATAATTGCGTTTTTTATATTATTATTTAAACTATGTCCTTGAGGCAATAGGAGTCCACCGCTGGATGTAGGGTTGCGAATAAATTTCAATATTTGTCTTCTCTTACGTAAGAGACTATGCCTCAAGGACATAGTTTGATTTTTAGAATACAAGGAGCGATTTACTTTGTTATTTTTAATATTAACTAAAGATTTTTTAATATTATATTATTATTTCTTACATATTATATTATTATTTTTATATCATAATTTCTTACATATTATAATATCATAATTTCTTACATAATTGTAATATCATGCGATTTAATATTGATAATGACCTAAAAGAGGTCGAAACGTTTGTTTTTAAATTTCTGTTAAGGCTCCTGAATACCAGCGACGGCCATGTTGGAATTGTGACGTCATAGGCGAGAAAAACACAATTAATATTTGTAACGAATTGTTGGCTCGTAGCCCTGTCTCTTAATTGTTTTTTAAGTTATTGAGCCTTATTAAAAAATTTATATTTTAATGATATTTGTCGGAAGGTGTACTCCCAGCATACTGGACAGTATCGCGACGCTCCTGAGGCACAGCGTCACGTGAATGGTCGGTGGCTCGGCCGTCGAGTCGAGGCTCGAGTGGTAATGGGGAGACAGTAGGCGTCGCCTCAGAAATCGGCCCGAAATGTGCAACTAATTCCAAGCACTGATTTAAATAATAGTACTACATGAGTTTTTAAAGAGATAGAATTTTTAACTTGGTATAACCAACTCTCAAAACCGGAAGTTCAAACAAAAATTAGGACTAATGAAAGATTAAAGGCTTTCAATTTAAACCATTTTCATACATATTCAGTTCTATTGGATTATCTTTCAATAATAAAATGTATTATGTTAAAATATTTTAGAGAATATCAATGTAGACATACTGGAAAAGCACCGTTCGGATACTATCACCAAGAAAGAGAAATTATAATAAGTTTTTAATACTGCACATTAGAAAAAAACATACAATAACGAACCTGAAGTCATATCACAGGTTGAACACACTGGCCCGTATTCAGAACGCACTTTTATTGATAAAAACGCGCTTTTATCTCTGAAATTCTATAATATATGTGACGTGAACTATAGCATGTTAGCGCACTAACATCGTTGTTAGCGCGTTCTGAATACGGGCCACTATGTATAATTAAAATTTATTATAATAAACGTACATAAAAATGAATAAATATTCTGCTTTTACATCATTCATATTTCTTTCTAATGTTTAGTATTAAGAAATTTATTATAATTTCTCTTTCTCGAGTTGTATTCGAACGGTATTTTTCCAGTATGTCTACATTGATGTTCTCTAAAATATGTTAAAATAATACATTTTATTGTTGAAAGATAATGCAATGAAAGTGAATACGTATTTATTCCAATGTCAAAATGTTACATACGTATAATCGAATATGCTAATAAACGTAATACATTTTTTTGGTATAATGTTATTACTAAATTGATAATCAGAACAATCCTTTCTCACGATATTAATTATTAATTAGAATAATAATTTGTATACGTATACTTATGAAGATATATTACGTGATTGAAAACTGGTTAACTTACACTCTAAAATCTCGAACTAGTTGAGAGATCAAACTATAACAGTTTTTTATATTTTAAAAATAAATCACAAAATATTAGTATTAATTTTAAAAGATTCTCATGCCAAATTGTCTATTTCAACGTAATACATTTTATTACTGAAAGATAATGAAATACCATGAAAAATATGACTCATATATTATTGAAGGTGCCAGTTCAAAGTAAACATACACCAACAGTTCCCAACTTTACGTCTGACTTGAATTACCTCATTATGCCAAGGTTTTTTACCATTTCATTATCTTCCAATAATAAAATGTATTACGTTAAAGTAGACAATATGGTAAGACAATTTAATAAGAATTCTTTTGAAATTAATACTGATCTTTATGATTCATTTTTGAAATATAAAGAACTGTTATTTTGATCTCTCACCTAGAACTCTATATTTGATTCAAGATTTTGGAGCACATAAGAATTCTTTAGAAATTTATATTGATCTTTTGTAATTCAATTTTGAAATATAAAAAATTGTTATTTTGATCTCTCACCTAGAACTCTATATTTGATTTCAGATTTTGGAGTACATAAGAATTCTTTTGAAATTAATACTGATCTTTTGTGATTCATTTTTGAAGTATAAAAAACTATTATTTTGATCTCTCACCTAGAACACTATATTTGATTCAAGAGTTTGGAAGACATGTGTGTGAGTTAACCAGTTTTCAATCACGTGTATCTTCCTAAGTATACATTTACAAATTATTAGGTATAATTAATAATTAATATTGTGAGGAACGCGCGCGCGATTGTTCTGTTAATCAATTTCGTAATAACATTATACCAAAACACTTACGGGGCGTTTATTAGCGTATTTGATATATCTTTTCAATTCTTGTCATTTCTTTTGAGGCATTTCCTTTTCATAAATCTGAAAATAAAATACAGTACAAGGAATCAATTCTTTTGTAATTAACTTTGTGTGAAATCGCTGCTTCGATCTCGACTGAGATCTCGAGTGACGGGATGGATTAGTGAACTGGACGGTTTGAGAACACTGAGCACTCTTCTTAACTTGTTGTATGCAAGTTTTATTCACACAGATAGACGTAGTGTTATTCGCGTGGCACGGCGAGTTAATACGCCGGTGCTCATCCACGACGGTAACCGTGATGAGATGTACAGAATAACGAGTCGCGGTAGCGAATACGTAGAAGGAAAGCTGCTGCTTTCAACGAATTTGAGAGAACAACGACTTGTCACGGCAAGTACTGAATTGCTTCTGAGATTAATGAGACAACGAATCTTGCCGCACGAGTTGTCACGACAAGCACTGATTTGTGTCTGAGGGTAGAATCGCGCTGCGCGATTAGCGCGACGAATCGGCAGGACGACAGCGACATCGGTATCCAAATACGCGGCTAAATTGTAGTAATTAGATGTTCGCCTAACATTTCTGGTCCTTCGAGCCGGATCGGGATTGAGGTTTTTTTTGACGTTGACTGTTAATAAAAGTGTTCGTGCTACGCATCCAATTGTGAACTCGTTCTCTTTCCGCGTAGTGGTGCATCAAAAACCTGTGTAAAATGGAGTCCTTCGACGAATTGATGTACAAGCAGTCTACACTAATGAGCTCAGTGACTCATGCCTTATCCAACTTTAAAAAATTAGGTCAGGCTAAGATGGCAAAAGATATGCTGTGACAAAAAGTCGTATAAAGACATTGGAGAAGACTGATCAATCAATGCCGTGATTTGGATGCCAAATTACACGCCACCGTTGATGCAAAGAAGAAGACTTCGCACCCCTACTTCTTAGACCACGAATTCGACGAGTGCGAAGAAGCCTACGAGTCAACGTTGGATTACTTCGCAGAGGTTCTTCATGAATTTTCCCCTTCCTCCGCTCCTCCTGCAATTAACGTAAGTCAGTCACACGAATGTCCGTCTCATACGACATTAAATCTACCGAAGGTCACGTTGCCGGCCTTCGATGGATCGTTCGATAAATGAGAAAGCATCCGCGACCGTTTTCAATCGATGATCATCGAAGAAAAAAGCCTGTCGAACGTGCAAAAACTACATCATTTATTTTCGTGTCTCAAAGGCGAAGCGCTCACAGCGATCGAACATTTAACGATTACTTCCGATAACTTTCCAGTAGCGTGAACGATTCTTTCGTCCAATTTCGAAAACAAGCGTTGGTTGATCAACGCATACATACATCGCTTATTTACATTGCCCAATGTCATCGCGAAATCGGCGACTGAACTTCGAGCTCTACAGAGCAAATTAACTGCCGCTATTGCCGCGTTAAAAAATTTGTCGCGTCCGGTCAAACATTGGAGCGATATTTTTGTTTATATCGTCACGCAAAGACTCGACAAATCATCGCGCGAAGCGTGGGAATTGAAATTAGGAAAAACTGTCGCGTATCCTACGTTTGAAGAAATTAGCGCGTTTTTAGACTCTCGTATCCGCGCTCTCGACGCCCTTGTACCGATCGCGCCGACTCCCGATAAACAGAGCGATAAATCAAATGCGAAATCAAAACAAAAGGCGATCACCTCGCACACAACGAGCGCTACCAAACTTTCGTGTCCCGTGTGCGACGCGAATCATTTGTTATATCAATGTACCGCGTTTCTCGGAAAAACGCCGACGCAGCGATACGAGATAATTCGCAATGGCAAGCGTTACCTTAATTGTCTAAGTTCAAAGCATCAAGCGAAAGAATGCACAAGTGCCAGCTCGTGTAAAGAATGCCATAGAAAGCATCACACACATTTTTCCGACGCTCCGAAACCAGCTGTTAAGGCGTCACCGTCTCCCGCGGCATCGCCTACCGTCGCCTCGACAACTGACGTTTCCTCGCATATCGTTGCGAAAGCTGTACCAGCGCGTCACATTCTCCTTGCAACTGCTCGCGTTCGCGTGCATTCAATGCACGGTCGATCTCAATGGACACAGCGCTCATTGATCAAGGATCTGCGTCATCCTTCGTAACCGAAAATTTAGTCCAGTCATTAAGACTTCCAAAATTAAATACCGCTGTTAAGGTAATAGGTATCGGCGAAACGCAGACGAGCGTTCGACATGCCGCTCACCTAACAATTACTCCAAGCAACGCGGATGCTCCGGTTTATACAACCACCGCGTTAATTTTAAAATCGTTAACGAGATATCTGCCAAATCGTCTCGACATTCAAATGCAATGGTCGCACTTGAATGGACTATCGATAGCTGATCCCGACCCCGCCGGATCAGATCCAATAGAAATTATCATCGGAGCGGATCTGTTCGGATCATTCATTCTCTATGGCGTTCGAAAAGGCGCTGCTGACGAACCGATAGCTCAAAATACAGCATTAGGCTGGATCATTTCCGGACCTACCTCGCAACTACGACCGCTCTTACAACCGTCCATCAGAGTACATCACTGCTCTGTTACGGATGATCTCGATCAAACTCTCCGTCGATTTTGGGAAATCAAGGAAGTTCCTGCGTTGTCGAAACTAACGAGCGACGAAAAGGCTTGTGACGACCGTTTCAATTCGACACATTCTCGAAATTCCGAAGGTCGTTATATAGTCAGACTTCCATTCAAAAACGGACCTCCACTCGACATTGGAGTGTCTCGACATTCCGCGCTTCAAAGTTACCTTCGAACTGAAAGCCGCATTAAAGCGGACTCAGAGATATCGTCCGAATATCATAATTTCTTTAAAAAATATTCTGATCTGGGACACATGCAACGCGTCTCAGAAACCGACGACTTGACTGACTCAAGTCAAATAGTGTATATTCCGCACCATGCCGTATTCCGAGCTAGCAGCTTAACCACGCGAACACGTATCGTTTTTAACGCTTCAAGCCAAACCTCTAACGGTACGTCCCTGAATGATCATTTACATCCGGGCCCTAAACTTCAAAAGGCTTGCAGCCGTCATTCTGCGTTGGCGCACATTCCGATACGTTTATTCCGCCGACGTGGCAAAGATGTATCGCCAAATTCTCGTCGATCCCTGCGATCGTGATTACCAGCGCATCTTCTGGCGTCCATCTCCAACACATCAAGTTGAAGAGTATCGTCTCTGTACAGTAACGTACGGCATAACATCAGCTCCGTATTTAGCATTGAAGGTCATGAACCAATTCGCTAACGATGAAGGCGCTTCATTTTCGTTAGCCACTTCCGTTGTCGATCGTCAAATGTACGTCGACGATTTTATCTTCAGTGCCGATGACAAGGTTCTCGCTCGTCAAACTTGCGAGCAGGTTGTTTCTCTTCTCAAAAGAGGTAGATTCACGTTACGAAAATGGGCAAGCAACCTGTCCGAACTCCTTGACGATATCGAAGCTACTGACCACGGTCTCGCTCAAAGCCGAGACTTACGTGAAGATAAAAGTCTAAAAATTCTCGGTCTCTCCTGGAAACCAGATCGCGACATCTTCCAATTTGCCGTTACTATTCCCGGTCCTCCTGGCGATACCAAAAGAAGAATTTTATCAGACATCGCCAAATTTTTTGACCCACTCGGATGGGCAACTCCAGTAATTATTCGCGCAAAAATTTTGATGCAACGACTTTGGATAGCCAAATGTGATTGGGACGAAGTCGCTCCGCCGAATCTACTTGAAGCCTGGCGGCAGTATCACTCTCATCTTCTACAACAAGAAGAGGTGACGATTCCACGCTGGACTCAACTCGGTCATCACGTACTGCATCTAGAATTGCATGGCTTCTCGGATGCATCGACGAAAGCATACGCTGCTGCGGTGTACATTCGCGTTGTAACAGTGGATGGACTGATCTCGGCCCATCTGCTTGCCGTAAAATCAAAAGTCGCTCCCGTCAAGACAATGAGCGTTCCGCGACTAGAGTTATCTGCAGCTCAGTTACTCGCGCGACTCATTTATTTTATTCGCGAATCTCTCGATTTCCGTGGGATCAACGTTTATTGTTGGACCGATTCAACCATCACCCTTGCTTGGTTGAGCCCACCTTCCACAACATGGAAGACATTTATCGCAAATAGAGTAACCGAAATTTACACGCTACTCCCGGAAACTCCATGGCGTCATATCCCAACGAAAGAAAATCCTGCCGACTGCGCGTCGCGCTGGATCTCTCCAAATGACCTTGCTACAAATCTTCAATGGTGATCAGGTCTCGATTGGCTCATTAAATCTTCCGATTATTGGCCTCAATCTTACTCGGATTTCGATCCCCACGCGCTAAGCGAACAACGCGAGCAAAAACAATCGCTCACTGCTTCCGTTGTCGCACCATGGGACCTATCGCAGTGTTATTCGTCATGGTACAAACTCCTTCGAATAACAGCTTACATTTATTGATTCATAACGAACTCCCGCGCTCGAAATACCGATCTCAACGCTTCGAGACGAAAACCTAGTGCTCCTATTTACTTAAATCCGATTGAAATCAAGTCAGCTGAAACCTTTTGGATTCGTCGCATTCAATCCGAATTATTCGCGAGCGAGATCTCGTCCCTAAGCAAGGCGACTCCAATAAAGAAATCTAGCCCACTGCTCTCGTTAAATCATTATCTCGATAATGACCAAGTCATTCGAGTCGGTGGCAGGCTCAGGAACGCCACCTTACCCAGTGACGTTCGCAATCCGATTGTCCTAAAGGACCATCCCTTGGTCAGGATGATCATAATGGACACCCACCGACGAACTATGCACGCTTGATCCCAACTAACTCTAGCTCGTATTCGAGAGAAATTTTGGATTTTACGAACCCGATCTGTGGTTCGCGCTGCACTCTACAAATGTGTACCATGTATACGCGAAAAGGCTCATAAGTCGCACAAAGTTTATATTTCCGTGTTCGTTTGTATGACGACAAAAGCGATTCACCTCGAGCTCGTCAGCGACTACTCGTCAGAAGCTTTTCTTGCCACACTACATCGTTTCGTTTCTTGTCGCGGATATCCTGCATCGATTTATTCGGATAATGGATCTATGTTCCAAGGTGCCGATCGTTAACTTAGAACCGCAATAACGAAAGCTCTCAAAAATTCGGACTTTCAAAACACGCTTTCGACGACGGAGTAAAGTGGCATTTCATGCCCCCTTCCGCTCCCCACTTCGGTGGATTATGGGAAGCTGCCGCACAGTGGGACGAAATGTCAAATAAATGGACATTTTAGAATAACGGATTCAATTTTTCTTATAATGAAATAAAAATTAGTACTTAGAGGTTTTTGGGGACGCTTATTTTTAATTTAATGTAAAAATGAATTTTAGAATGATGAATGTACGAATTCGTAATAATAAAACTAAAAGATAAAACTCCTAGTGCCCTTATTCTTTTAAATTTTGTTTTAAATTAAATTTACCCAATGCGTACGTTGTTGTACTTCAAATCGTGTACTATGTGCACTTCAGCCATTTTGACGCAATATTCCTGAAGTGAATTGCGGTATTTTATAAATCTAGTAACTTTAAAACCTTGTATAAGTGTGCGCCATCTATCGGCCAATTTTCACAAGAATGACATTATTATGAGAATAGCTTCGATTATTGAGAAGTTACATGTTTTACGCGCAAATAAGTACACGCTTGATTGCACAAAATATTCTATTCCTATATTAAAATTAATAAAATGACGTAAATTTAAATTGAATTACAGATTCTCTTTAAAGTTTAAAAAAAGAACATCAAAATTAATGAAGTATAAATGGCTATACAGAGTCATGCGCTGTTAACGAAGCGCGGGTAATACACAAAATCTTACATTTAGATTCAAAAATTCGAAGTCACCATCTCTAAGATTATTTTATATTGTCGCTGATGATGGTCTAGATTAAAGGACCGAAACGTTCGACTCTGAATTTTTGAATCTAAATGTAAGATTTTTTGTATTATCCGCGCTCCGTTAACAGCGTATGACTCTGTATAGCCATTTATACTTCATTAATTTTGATGTTTTTTTCCTACATTAATTTGCTTAACAATATATAATAATACAGGGAAAATTTATATTTCAATTCAGATGATCTAATTAGTGCAATAAAAGAACCTGTGCACATTTTCTGGATGTTTTAACTACCCACTGACGGCACTGATTGACCTAATATCTAAAACAAGGTATAACGGTTTTTCATCACTTATCATTTCAATGCGGATTACAGTCGAAGCGAGACGAAGCGGGACGAAAACTTTTCAGGCCTTGTAGTCCTATAAGTGACCTTCAATTTGGTATAATGAATTATTTAATCAGTCTTAATCAAAAAACTATATGGTATTTTTATTATCGTATGTATAGAAAATACCAAGTAAGAACTTTGATAGGAGGTAAACAATATATACATATATTGTTCAATATAATAACTTTTCATTTTTTTTAATATTAAATAGAACCTATTTGATAAGAATTGCACAGCCAAGTTCATTATTTTAAATGAATATTATTTATCAAGAGCGAGAGAAGACAAGGTGTCAAATACTGGAATTGCGAAAGCGTTCTAAATTCGTAACTTTACATACCGCCAAAAAATATACCTTAAACAATTAAAAGATTAACAACGCATTACTAAATGGAGAATTTATTAAAGAATGAGATTTATATTATTTTAACAAATTCCATATTTCGTTTTTTGACCCTAATGTCCGGAATCACGCCCATTCGTCCCACTGTGCGCCGTGCTCAGCGTCAAGTACCACTTAAAACGTTGTATCGGATTACATACACTCACATTCGAAGAGTTGACTACAGTTCTTTGTCGTATCGAAGCCTATCTTAACTCTCGTCCTATTGGCTCTGTGTCCGAAAATCTCGACGATTATAATGTACTAACGCCAGGACACTTCCTCATCGGAGGACCCATCGTGGCTGCGCCACAACCAAGCGTTCTCGATCTTAACGAAGCTCGTATTTCCCGTTAGCAATTGTTGCAACACATTACCGAAAAGTTTTGGAAATCATGGTTAAATGACTACTTATTAACGTTGCAACAACGGCCAAAGTGGAAACAAGCGCAACGACTCGCGACTGTAGGTCGAATCGTTCTCTTGCGAAACGCACTTGCGCCTCCGTGTCACTGGGAGCTCGGACGCATTATCAAATGTCATCCCGGCGACGACGGACTCACTCGTGTCGTTACCATACGCTCCGCGCGTTCACATTACAAGCGTCCAATTGCAAAATTGTGTCTCCTTCCGATCGACATCAACAACTCAACTGATCAAAGTTCCGCCATGGCGGGCGGCATCAATTCCGACTAGATGTAATTAATAATGTTCAAATTATTGTATTGCGCCATTCTTTGTAAAAAAAAAAACAAACTTTCCATGTCCGTATTGTAAGCGTTCTAGTCATAGCATGTAAGCGTTCTATAACTATTTATAGTTATAGTTTTTATTTCGAATGAAATCATTCGAGACGGGCGATATGTTTCGGAACCGTCTAATATGCTTGAGAGTCTCCGCGAAACATTAAATGTGACGCGATCGGACATAATGAGACGCGTCAGTCGTAGAGTTCGCGAATCACAATTTTCAAGAACGAGGCATCGCGTATAGCCGATCCTTGTCAGCCCAAGGGTAAATACCATTCGCGATCCTCTTTCGTCAACTCGAATGCGCTGTATATCGATTTTGATCTCTCGCGCACCCCCTGTTTCTGCCTATCTGGGTCGCTAATATCATGCATTCTTACGCTTTCTTGTTCCGGCTCTTGGTGTATTAACACGCATTCGAGTTACCGAAAATTCGTATTCCACGTTGTTGAAGTAATCCGTCGAGCTTCGAAAGTGATTCATTCCGCCGGTCTTCGGCAAAAATTGTCTAATATCGTGCCCGCGATATTTTGCGTCCATTTCGTTAATTTAGTTAGATACACGCACATTGTCGTCTGCCGTTGTTACCGCACGTGTCACCACGTGCTTCGACATTAAGACTTTCCGGACTCTCCAAATTCTTGATCTCGCGAACGGTGCATCGCGCATCCGCGTTCGGATCTTGACCGCTACGATCTTTCGTTAGCATCGTCGCGAGAAGATTTCCGTCGCGTACCGAACTACAGTACAGTTCCGCCCAAGATTTCCGTCGCGCTCGCGCGCAGCACATTTTATCAAGGGCAAGATTTCCGTACGTTCCCGTTGCTTTTGTCCACCGTTCGTTAAGTGTGCTCAATTGTTAAGAGTGATATTTAATTATCTGTGTAGTTTCAAATAAAGTGACTTCATACCAACTTAAAGACGTTAACAGTCAACCCCCTCTTCCCCTCTATTCCCGATTTAAAATTTATTATCAGTGCACTCCGCAACATTTCTGGTGTCACCAGAATATATTAATATATTAAAAAAAATTTTTTATTTTATTTCTAAAGTACTCTTGAAACTATTCAATTTTTATATTGAAAGTTTTTTTGTTTCTCTTATAGTTTCGAAGATATTCGTTTCGAAAGAAAAAAATCTATTTTTTCAAAGGGAAGTTTCACCCCCTTAGAGTGAAATTCCGCACCAACAGAAAATAGTTTTGTGTTATGGATGAACTACTCTACTTGCACACAAAGTTTCAGAATTTTTTGAATTTTTGAGTTGCCTCCCTTGTCAGTAATATGTTCGCTGCTTTCTTTTATCACTCTGTCTACACTACACGTATCTATACTTATATAACTAAAGTTATAGATATTTCAATAAAATTGTTCTTTGAGGCTGGATTACACTCGTCTGTTATGTTTGCATAATCATAATGTAAATTTTAAATTCGGAACTTCCTTCTTTATGAAATCGGAATTTTCGCTCAGTGACTAATGCGAAAAGAGGTGCATCATGATGGTTTTTCATCCAAAGTGCAATAATATGAAACTTGCACAGCATCGACGTGAAACAAACATAGAGTTTATTAATTTCTCATGTTTTGTATTTTACTGCAATGATCCATGCGGGAGATTAAAATTCCTGCCATACGATCTTTATTATCACAAATAGGATTTTTATCCGTACAATCGCGTAATTTATTGATTAATTTGTGCAGCCATGTGTGGATATGTGTGTAAATGCAGCATATAGCATTGCCCGGAAACGAAAAACAAATTTTTGCAAGAATTTATAGATGTAATTGAAAAACTGACACGAAAAGAATGCAACAATCGTATTTATTTAAATTAATTTTTTAAAGGTAGATAGTAG